CCCACAACAGAACCTTTGCGCATTTCTTACTCCAAACATCTTACAGGTTTGAATCTATCGCGCGGCGCTAGAAGGCGTGGCCTGGGCAACCGGTACGATTAGGACAAATAGGCAGTGGCCCCTTTTGAATGTGGCGCTTCTACTTAGATGAAAAAAGGCTGAAACTGCTTTCCTTGAGGGACCATGTCTTGTGTAACACACGTAGACCGACTCTTTTTTAGCTTTTTCGTCACCGCGCCCGATACCGCTACTCGTCTCGGTAAATCCTGCACAAGCCTCTTAAAACTATAAACTAATTCACACATACTTCAACGTCTATGCGGCCGCCTGACTGTGGAGCACGCGATGGACATAGGCGCTCATGATTATCGAAGTGTCGTGAAAAAGTGGCCTTGCCCTGGCATCTTATTTGACTCGTACAGAGCGGTTGTGAGCGGTGGAAAAAGCGCCGCCTTTGGCTAGGCGAGGAATGTTCGCTGGATGCAGAATGCAACTAAACCACTACTTGTGTCCGCTTCATAACCCACTGGAATATCAGTTGTCGTAAAGGTTTTCTGCCACAAAACCGCTCAATTTTCACTTACTACTTGCAATCCAAATGACTGATGTTACGATACTCATCGCATCCCATGACAACTGTCTGGGCACGCCTAGATGCAGGCTCCACGCCTAAACCCAACACTAGATAGGTGAGCAGGTCCGGGCAGTGTACTGGGAGAGAGGGAGGAGCGTGACGTCGACACTGCGGGATCCCTTCACACAGAACGTCAGAGCATTTCTTGCTCAAACAAAATCTTACGCGCTTGAATCTATCGCGATGTGCTAGAAGTCGTGGCCTGCGCAACCTGTACGATCAGGACGCAGAGGCAGACCTAACGGCTCCTTTTGAATGTGGCGTTCTCACTTAGATGGGGCCCGAGCCGCCGCTGGTTTCTGTTAAAACCTGGTCCCGTGTGCGCAAAGATCATGTGTTGTGTGACAGGTGTAGACCGACTGTATGGCTTTTGCACCATCGCGGTCGATCTCGCTACTCGTTCTGTCTATGTGGATGAGGGAGGAGATAGCGCAGTAGATGCTGTACATGCCTACCAGTACTATAAACTAATTCCCACGGAAGTCACCGGCCTTCAGCCTGTGAAGCACGTGGGGACGATTGGCGTCAGAGGCGATCGAACTGTAGTTGCGAAAAAGTGGCCTTACTGTGGCGTCTTATTTAAGTCGTGCGGCGTGTTGTGAGTAGTAAAAAAAATAACGGTTAATCAGGTCACATAGGGCCTAATTGATCCCTTGAATCGACCGCGACCGACTATCGTGACCTAGAGGAGCGTACGTCCTATAACGCGGACTTGAGAGAACTTGTGTCTAACAAGCAACTTTCCCAGCCTTTGCTTAGTTGAGCGTAATGTTGGTCCTCGTGAGCGAAGTAAGTTTGGTGGTGTACCCATGAGCTATTTCTGTTTCTTTTTTCAACACTTCATCAGCTTTACCGGCTGGTCCAGGTAACCGGAATCTCGATCGGACGCAAAGAGCCTAGACAAAGTGGTTGATTGCTAGAACTTAGCACAGCATGTATCTGAATTCCAATTCTAGGTCTTCTCTGTTTACTTATGGTCACCTGTTTTTTTAAAGTGAAGTGCATAATTTGAGCTCCTTTTGCTATTGCTGTATACTTTTTACCGGTACCCTTAAATGCCATCTTAGATATACAATATTACTAGTGAGGGCTTTCTCGACGTGTGTAGACGCACAAACGCCGCCCTAAACCTGGCCAAACTGCCGGCGTTTGCTCACTTCCCTCCACTCCTGACAATTTTCTCTTCTTTCTCACCCTAGGCCTTGCTCCAACTGGTAGAACCCAACGTTCTGGTCAAATGCCGAAAGTGTGATGTCGATCTTGTGCAGGTAATTAGTGTTTTCCACTGTTCCGTCTGACCATTGGCACCTATTTTAACCGACCCTTGACCTTGTCTGTGGTTTGGTATTGAGCCTCGTGCATTTTAATCGATACAATCAGACTGCTTCGCGTGACAACCTACTGATGCGTTTTAAGTAACAATGCTATTTTACTATTGTTTCATTACGTTGTTCAACCCTTTAGTCTGTGCTGCCGTCCAGTATCGCGACAGTGCAGAGAGAAGCTAATCTTACAGTTTCGGCGAAAATCGACACAAAGAACTTTTTGCCTGACTCTTGGTACGTTTTAGTTTCATAGTCTATCATCTGGACGTGTTTTATGCATCCCTTGTCCAACTAAAGGTGACTTAACGGTCTTTTGCTAACTTTAGCTGTGGTGGCGTTGAGATCTCTGTATGGGATGGACGCATTCGTGTGACCAATACCCTGGACGCCCGGCTGGATCAAGTGGCCGAGAAGTTGCTACCAAAGATCCGGGAGCAGATCTTTGGTGTCAACAAGAACCGCAAATTCGCCTCTTAAAATGACATCCACACGTGTCCCAGCTCTACTCCCATCCGTTCCCTCTTAACGTTGTGCTTCCAACTAGCATAATATGTTTGTCACGAGGTTTTTCTTCTCCTCCCACTACTTATTCTCTCGCAATTTGATCCTTTGTCCTCCAATAATTCCACATTATTTGACGTCCTCTCCCTCGATTGCACAACTCATTTTCTCGTCTTCACCGGTTGCTTTTTTGTGTGTGGTAGTTCTCTAGCGGTAATACAGTTTCACAGCGTGTCTTCTTACTTTATCTGCCCAGCTAGGTGTTTTCGTCAGGAGACGTCCTATGGGTGTGAGGGCACGATTTGGATATCTGTCAACTCTCTGGTCGTTCGTCGTCCGTCCTGAAAATCATTTGGGCT